AGGTCCCCTTGGTCGGGTTCCGCTGCTCGTGCCCACCTCCCGGTTCCTGGACGCCGGCTGCCAGTGGAACCGCACCGAGGAGATCCCGGCCCGAGCCGGGCCCGCGGCGGCCTCTCGTGGCCGAAAGTGGAATTGCACCGAGTGCCACCGCGCAAGGCCAGCCCCGCACCCTTTGACCCTCAACCCCGCCACTGAAAACCTCTCTCTCCACACCCTCTTCACCTCTCAAATAAATAAAAAATATTCTTAAAAACCAAATCACTAATGGGACAAATGACCAAGTCTCTCCAAGAAACCCTGGGCACATAATTTAGGGGGCAGGGAGGGATTCCAAAGAGACTCCAGGGGCCAGGGCGTGGGTCCTGGCCCCCGTGCGCTGGGGACCGTGGAGGGATCATTGGTTGGGCGAGACGATGACAGGCAGGGGTGAAATGAAGTGACCCCCACCCCCGGGTCACCTGAGGCCGAGGGGCCGGCTTGGGCGTGCACCCCACTTCTGGCTGCTTCTGATCTATGTGATAAGTTGTGTAACGGTCAAGATTTTCAAGTGCTGGGAGAGAGAGGGGGCAGTGGCCTGGGGCGGGGGTGGGGGCAGCTGCTCAGCCTCGGTCCCCAGGGGAACGCCTCCAAGGTGTGAGGTCAAGAGGGGAGGGGAGCGGGGGCTGGGAGGTGGGGTGGCCCCGGGAGATGGACGGAGTGAGACCAGGTGAGGGGCTTCTACCTCACCGGGTGGACGACTCCACAATGCATCATCTTCTTAAATATACGTATTTGTTGGAAAAGCAGAAAGAGACAGACAGAGGTCTCCCATCCACCGGTTCACTCCTCAAACACCCCCAACAGCCAGGGCTGGGCCAGGCAGAGGCCAGGAGCCCAGAACGCAAGCCAGGTGTCCTGCGCAGGCATCGGGGGCTCCAGCATTTGAACCGCAACTGCTCCCTCCCAGGCTGAACTGGAAGCAGAGTCAGGACTCGAACCCAGGCACTCTCACGGGGAGGCAGTCACAGAGCGAGAGCGCGAGCTTCCATCTGCTGGGCCACAGAGGCCAGGCCAGACCAAAGTCAGGAGCTTCCTCGGGGTCTCCCCTGTGGGTGCAGGGCCCCAGCGCTTGGGCCATCCTCCACTGCTTTCCCAGGCCACAGCAGAGCTGGACCGGCAGGCACTCCCATGGGATGCTGGGGCTGCAGACAACAGCTTGACCCATCCACCCCCGGGGCCCCTCCCCACAGCCATCACACTGCCTCCTGAGGTGGGCGGGGCCAGACTGAGGGAGAGCCCCGACCGAGACTAGAACCTGGTGTGCCGGCACCGCAAATGGAGGATTAGCTTAGTGAGCCACAGCGCCGGCCCAGACGCATTTTCATTACCTTATGCAATCACTCAGAAATCAATAGCTCCCATGGCCCATGTAGTACCTTTACGCATTTTTCTTAGCCATTATTCCTTGACGTAAATTCAGTTACTGTCTTCTCTTCATCTGTTCACGTTCCGTATTTTGCACGACAGGTCTAACCGTGCGCCAGCTCTCGGTGTTTGTCTGGCAACACCTTTATTTCTCCTTTTTTCTTTTTATTTATTTATTTGAAAGTCAGAGTTACACAGAGAGAGAAGCAGAGGTAGGGAGATAGAGAGAGGTCTTCCACCTGCTGGTTCACTCCCCAACTGGCCACAACAGCTAGGGCTGTGCCAGGCCAATACCAGAAGCCTGGAGCTTCGTCTGGGTCCCCCACGTGGGTAGCAGGGGCCCACAGACTTGGGCCATGTGTTGCCTTCCCAGGTGCATTAGCAGGGAGCTAGATCAGAAGTGGAGCAGCTGGGACTTGAACCGATGCCCCTCTCGGGTGGCTGCTTTACCCGCTTGGCCACAGCCCACCCCGGCCTTGAGACCCCAGGATGCCCCAACTCACCCCTACTCAGCAGCCATCATTCCTGAGCGCCTCTTGTCTGACACACAAATCCCTCATCAGCAGATTCCAAATTTGGGGTTGGAAAACACAGAACCCCAGTAATGCAGAAAGAACATGAAGTTGGAGTGCGGCTGCAGCATTTGGAGAAATCGGCCCAGCTCGCCCCCCACCCCCCCACCAGGAGCCCCTGTCAGCTCTGGAGCCTGGGGCAGGGCCAGCCCCGCCCGGTGCCCCAGGACGCGCCCCAGGCTGGCTTCTCCAGGGCTGAGCCAGGGACTCCACCTGGGGGGGAGGCAGGGACGCAAGCATGTGGCCCATCATCTGATGCCAGCGTTGCATGGGGCTGCCCGGCCCACTGCACCACAAGGCCGGTCCCCAGGTCACCACAGCAGTGGAGACATCTCACAGGGCTACAGCCTCGGGGATGAAATCGAGTATCCCACAATGCACCTGCCCTGACCAAGGGTGGGGGGGTACGCAGAAGCAGAGCGGGGCTGCAGGACTGCCCACACGGGGGTGGGAAGAGGCGACAGGCACCTCTGGCCATGTGATGTGTCTCAGACGGGCTCCCCACGCCCACAGAGGACCGGGGCAGCCCGGTGCTCCTGTGCCCTCGGCCTCCCGGGAGTGCAGACGCCCCCTGCACCGCACACCTGCCGGGGGTGAACACACTGCTGCCCAGGCCTCCGCACCCTGGGGCCTCGGGGGTGAGCGGACTCCCACCGCCTGAGGCACACTGACTTTGCCACCTGGAACCTCAGGAAGCCGCCCCGGGCGCCCCCGCTCTGCGCACAGTAGGCCAGCCTGCCTCCTTCCTTCCTCCAAACTGCGGACAGCGGCTTCCGGAAGGGCAGCATTCGCTGGGAACGGGAACGGCAGGCACGGAACGGCACCGCCGGCTGCAGAGACGCGGGGGTTAAAGGTCACTGTTCCAACAGAGGGGGCCACACCTGCCCAGGTGACCCCACCAGCTAACAGGGGAGCCCAGGTTCCCTGTTCACTGTCTATGCTGCAGACCCCTCCCCACCTCGGGGTGTTCACACCCGCCAGCCAGGCCCAGCTCACGCATGGGGTCAGCGCCATCTGGTGGCCAGGAGAATAACCAGGGGCCACGTGCCTCCCAGTGGGGGAGGTGGGACCAGATTTAGGTGCCTCCTGGGCCAACTGGTTCCCGTGGGGAATATCAGCGTGCAGGAGGGTGGGGGACCCCTGTCTGCTGCCCCACCCCACGGGGAAAATCCCACCTTCGAGAATCCCCAGCACAGCTGTAAACCACAGTAAACCCTGAACGTTTTCTCGCATAACTGCTTTTAAAACTTAGAACAGGCCGGCGCTGCGGCTCACTAGGCTAATCCTCCGCCTTGCGGCGCCGGCACACTGGGTTCTAGTCCCGGTGGGGGCGCCGGATTCTGTCCCGGTTGCTCCTCTTCCAGGCCAGCTCTCTGCTGTGGCCCGGGAGTGCAGTGGAGGATGGCCCAAGTGCTTGGGCCCTGCACCCCATGGGAGACCAGGAGAAGCACCTGGCTCCTGCCATCGGATCAGCGCGGTGTGCCAGCCGCAGCGGCCATTGGAGGGTGAACCAACAGCAAAAAGGAAGACCTTTCTCTCTGTCTCTCTCTCTCACTGTCCACTCTGCCTGTAAAAAATTTAAAAAATAAAATAAAATAAAAAGATAAATAAATAAATAAAACTTAGAACACAGCGATTGCGGGACCAAAGACCTTTCTGTCCGGCCACCCACCAAGAGCAAGCAGGATCGGGCAGCAGGCGGCGGGGACTTCGGGAGAAGGGCACTGCGGGGCAGGCCGCGAGCTCTCACCCAACTTGAAGGTTTATTTCAGGCTCAGTCTGGCCGAGAAGCTGGTCTGGACTGGGCGTCCCACGGGCGTCCCTGCGATCCCAACTCCACACGGGACACACTTGGCCTCGCCAGCCAAGTCCTTCTGCCCAGGAAGGGTCAGCTCTGTCCCACTCTGGACTTGGCTCTGAACTCCCCGACTCGGGGGCTCAGACAGGGCCTCAGCCTACCCAGGCCACAGGGCCAGCAGTGCAGGAGCCCATGGTCCTGCTCTCCAAACCCTGGCCTGGCCTCGCCAAAGAGCAAGCCCGGCTGCTCCTAGGGGCTCGAGGACACCACAGAAGAACGGGGCAAGGCAGGGCACACGGGACAGCGGCTCTGGGCACCACAGAACTGGCCAGCCCAGGGGCTCTGCCTCGAGCCGGCCTGCTGGCGCCAGCAGGTGCCCCAGCGGGTAGGCGCGGCACAGGGCCGAGGGAGGAGGGAGGTGCTGCCCTCGCTGGGCCAGACCGGACCCGCGATGCCGGCGGAACCAGTTCAGCCTGCCTCAGGGGTGCCCCCACCCCCGCCCTGATCTGAGCCCCAAGCTATACAACTTCAGGCCTCACCCCTTTTCACGGTGAGCCCCTGGCCTTTCGGACAAGACAATTCAAGACTGACTGATTTATCTGAAAGGCAGAATTACGAAGAGCGGGAGCAACAGAGAGCTTCCATCCGCTGGTTCACTCCCCCAAAGGTCAAAGCCAGGCGTCAGGAGCTTCCTCCGGGTCTCCCACGGGGTGCAGGGGCCCAGGGACTCGGGCATCCTCCACTGCTGCCGCAGGAGCAAGAGCAGGGAGCTGGACGGGAGTGGAGCAGCCGGGGCGCCAACCGGTGCCCACTGGCGGGGGCGGGAGGGGCAGCACTGCAAGCAGTGGCTTCCACCAGCTACGCCACAGTGCCCGCCCTTGGCCGAGACAACTCTAGAGAAAGGACTGCGACGTCCCGTAGGCGCTTCCGGCCTGGCTCCAGTGCAACGTGGGGGTGACTCGGTCATTCCGCTGTGAGCCGCCGGCAGAGCAGTGACAAAAACAACCCAGGCTCTAACACCTCAATGCAGCCCTAAAACCCGAGGCCCGGGATGCACTGTGGTCCCTGGGGCACAGGCGAGATACGCAGTGTCACAGACTCGCCACGACACACACAGACCACTCCCTGTCCCCCGCCCCGGCAGGACCCACGCCAGGACATGGACAGGGCGCAGCTGAACCGCGACCGGTAAGGAGCGACGCCGTGTACGTGCGGAGTGAACAAAGGCCTTTCAAAAAGATTTAATTTTTCAAACGAGACTTCCACAGTCAGAGAACTGGGCTTTTTCTCTTTTTTCCCACAGGATGAAGGGGCTGCCACGTGCATCCAGAAATAGGTGCCCCCGAGCTGAGGGACTGAGCGCCCTTCAGCCCCCCCCCCCAGCGTCCAGGCACGTGCCGCACACACGCCGTGGGTTCTGCAGAGATGCTGGGCAGGGACACCCGGCATGGAGCAGGCCCAACCATGCCAGCGGCAACGAGAGTCGGCACCCCCTCCTGCCCCAAGAGAGCGGCGGCAGACAGCAGGCCCTCGTGAGGCCAGGGCCAGGCTGCCCAGAGCTCTTGACGCCCCAGGACCGGGCGCGGCAGGGGCTGGGGCTGCCGCCCACGAGCCCACGTGCGGGGGAGACTCGCAGCCGCCTGCCCCCGGCTTTGCACGCAGGCACTGTGCTGACACCAGGCTTCAGTCCCGAAGAGCAGTCGGGCTCAGGGCGGACGTGGCGGCCACGTTGCTGGCCACTGAGCGCGCCCACTCGGCCCGGCTTCTTCTCTTTGGCTCCAGGTTCAATATAACTCTTGGGTCCATTGTTCAAGACAAACAGGCTTGGTCCCGACCCACAAGTCCACTGGGGACATCTCAAGGTTTTGATGCCCATCTCCTACCCCCAAGTCCTTTTTGAAGCTTGAAAAAAAAAAAAACACTCCGTGATGAAGCCCGGCATTGCCCCACCGTGCAGGGTGCAGCGAGCCAGCAGCCGGGCCAGCGGGGCAGGAGCTGGCGTGCGGTACTGGCACCACGGCACCACAGCCGAGCCCGCCCCACCGCCGCTCTGCCCAAGGCCTCACACAGAGGAAGAGGCACTCCCGGCAGTGAACCGGGCACAGGAGGGAGGGTGGCTGACCCTCCCCAGGGACACCACCCCCTGCCGAGCAGGCCGAGGGCTCTCTCTGGCAGCTGCCTAGCCCTGGCCTCCCATGGTGGAGAGCAGGAGCTGCTGACCTGGGACAGCAGAGGCCGCTTCTCCCCATGGCCTTGGCTTGACATGGAAGCCACTGAGGCTGAGAGGGAGGGGACCCAAGAGAGAGGACAGCGGGCACGGTGCACTGAGCCCCCGCCCTGTCCCCCTGCACCTGACACGGGCCCAGTGCTGGCCTGAGACCGTGCGGGCCCCTGGCCACGCCCAGGGGAGGGACACAGGCCCCACCGAGGCCCTCTGACTCCTCCCCCGGGAGCAGCACTCTCACCACACAGCTGCACCACAGGGCCAGGGATTCCACGCCTGCCGGCCTCTCCCCTGCCCCGCGCCCGCCTCTGCCCGGGCGCCCCCACGACACAACAGCCAGGCACGGCAAGCGCAGGGTTTGTTTCACTTCTGCCGTTCCCTGCACCTCTCCGCGCCACGGCCGCCGCCAATGCCTTCCCCGCTGGGAGCACGGCGCCCGGTCAGGAACGCAGTCCAGGGAGGCGACCTGCTTCACGCTGGATGGCGGCAGGGAGCTAAGACGCGTGGCTTCTGACCGCGACCTCTCATCCCCTTCCGAGCAGAGCCGGGGGAGCCGACGGCAGGGCTCAGCTGCCACAGTAGCTACAAACTTCCCTAAAAATAGAAAAGTTAAAACCACAGCGCTGTTCCACGGAAGAGTGAAGGGGGAGACAGGTCATTCACGCACGAACACCACGGCTGCCTGCTCCAGGCGTCCAGGCACGAGTTCAAGTTCACCTGCTGTCAGAGAGGAACGCCAAGAACGCCAGGAACCCGTCTCTCTTCCAAGTCCACCAGGAAGAAATCCCAGCATAATCCAATTTGGAAAGAATTTAATTAACAAAATAAAACGGAAGGAAAATGGTCCGGGGGGGCCGCAGGGAGAGAGGGGCCAGGCCAGGCCCCGGCGGCCCCCGCCGCCTTCCTCTGCACGCCGTCGTCGGAGCGTGCGGCTCCGGAGCCCAGACAACGGTGCCGGAGGCTGCGCGGCTCCGACCACCTTGCGCCGGCTTGGCACATTCACGCATGCAAAGCAAGAAAGTCTCGAGGGCTTCACCAAACAGTTACTTTTGGCAAAAAGAGAAAACAAAGGAAAAGCGAAAGTTTGTAAGCAGGTTGAAAGCCACGGGGGTGAGACGGTACGGAGTTAGACTGCCGCTACGACCTGGTGTGGAGCAGCCTCTGCCGCCCCCCCCGTCGGCTCAGTCCATAGCAGCAGCGCTCGGGGCCCCTGTCCAGCCTCAGCCTCCGGGGCAGGCTCAGTCGGTGCGCAGCATCATGGGAGGGTGCTCGCTGTCCTCGTCCAGGCGCAGGGCGCCGGCCTCCTCCTCCAGGCAGGCGCCTCCCACGGCCCCCAGGTCATCTGTGTAGGCTGCAGAGACACAACATGACCCTCAGAGGCTGGGCGCCGCCAACTGCAGACTGTGCAGCCGCAGCCCACATGGAGGAGGCTCAGTTCTACCCTCTTCTGTGCCGCGGGCACGCTGCCCACTTGCTCCCGTGAGCAGGAGGAAGACACGTGTCCCAGACTGCTCAAATCGGGCGCTCAGGGCGGCGGGGCTGGGAGGGAGTGAGCGGCAGGGGCCCCCAGAGGCGGAGGGCCCCCATCTGCCCGTCTGCAGACTGCCCGGCCACTGCAGCCAGATGGGGGCTTGACGGGCTCACATGTGGCTCCGGTCTTGAGGGCAGCTGACAGAGCTCACCTGCTGAGAGTGGCCGCTAAGCTTCCCGAGGGTAAGTGGGAAGCTGCCCGGGGGCCACTGGCACAGCCCCCGTGTGGTCTGCAGCCCGCCCCTTACCAAGTCTCGTGGGAGACGAAGGCGCGTAGGCACCTTTCCCGGCAGCTGTGCCTCGCGTCTGTGTCGCCAGGGGGCAGTCGTGAGAGGCAGAGTCCAGGGTCTCACTGGCCGTCTCCACGCTGCCGTCCAGCCTGGAGGAGAGAATGTGAAGCCGTGCTCAGTGGTCGGGGCTTCCTGGGCGCCACACGGTGACAGCTAAGCAGAGCGTGGGCATGTTCATGCGGGGGTGGGCCCCCAGCGCACCTGTGCACTTGGGTCACTCCGGCCGTCGGATGGACAGACACCCACCCGGGGGGTGCTACTATTTCATTTTTAGTCTCAAACAAAATTTGCTATGAAAACACCACCTCCCAGTTCCCCCACTGTAAAAATACCACAGTTGGCACTGGGACTCGCACTAAAACACAGCGTTAACAGGAACACCCCGCCCCCCACCGCCAACTGCCAAGTGCAATCCCTCTTCCAGCGAGACGCCCCACAGGGCAGCGGCAGCCCAGGCCGCCCCTCGCCGGGTACCTGGTGCTCAGGGAACTCTGCGGAAGCACGCCGGCCAGGAGTGCGCCAGGTCACGGGAGCAGACCACGCTCGTGCGGGACAGGGCCGCTCCCCCCCCCACCCCCGACCAGCAGGACGCGGCGGTGCCGTGGGCCTCACCTGTGCCGTGCGGGACAGGGCCGCTCCCCCCTCCCCCACCAGCAGGACGCGGCGGTGCCGCGGGCCTCACCTGTGCTGCCGCATCAGGGCGCACTCGCCGCCCTCCTGCGGGTCCAGGTTGTACATGTACAGGTACCCGTCGGACGCGCCCACCAGCAGCCGGGGGATCTTCTGAATCCTAGTGGCGGTGAGAGCAGCCAAGCTGGAGGCCCGCGGCGCGCACCAGAGCACCCGTTGCACCATGCTGCACCAGCAGCCCCAGGTCACGCCAGCCCAGCTCCCCGCGTCCCCCACGCCCCCACGGGCGCGGGGGAGCAAGGCAGAACCAAGTCGGTGCCATGGCCTGGAGTCCTGGGGACAGGCATCTCACAGACTCCCCTGCTACGCTAGTGACAAGCAGGAGGGAAGAGACCGCCGGCAAGGCGGCGGGAGCAGAGGGCACCATCCCTGGGTGCCCACGGAGCTGCGCCCCTCAGATCTGTAGGCAGAGCCCCCGCAGGGGGCTTCCCTTGGCCTCACGGGTAAGCACTGGCAGCTTCCTGCAGGGGACCTAATGCTTCTCATCAACACTGAACGGTCTCAACAGAAACAGAGATTTCTGTGCAATCAGAATACCACGGAGAGCATTCAGGTGTGGTTCAGGTTGAACACCCAAAACCTGAAATCGGAACACAACGCCCCGTGGAGAACTCCCCACCTGACCGCACGTGACAAGCGCGGTGCACGGCAAACACTGCACGACCACCCTGAGGCCGTGAGCAGACGGTGGGCGCGAAGCAGAGCTGAGCTGCGCCCAGACCTGGCCCCGTGCCCAAGGCACCACGCCCGCACAAACTCCCCCACGCACCAAGCGTTTGTGCCAAGTGCCTCTCCACCTGTGGCCGGGAAGGCGGGCTTTACGGCTCCGCCAGTGCCACTCAGCCTGGCAACGCCCATGTCCCACTCGCCAGGACACCTGATGTGCCCAGGCTCCTCCCCCAGTGCACCCCAGGCCGTGGCGGAGGCAGGCGCCCCCGTGACTCACGTGGCTAGCGAGCAGATGTTCTTGTGGCCACAGAACGGCAGGCGCACTGTGGCAAAGGCCCTGCCCTGGTTGAACATCTCTGTCACCTGGGACGGCAGGTAGCTGGTGGAGGCCATGAGCACCTTCCCAAAGTAGCCAGTCCAGGTGGTGGGCTCCTCTGGAGGCCTGCGGGGACACAGGGCACATGGGTCAGGTGGCTGCCCACTTGCCACCCTCAGAGACGAGCTGCTGTGGGCCGCACAGGGCGGCTCTCCGCGTCTCACAGGGAGGGGCAGAGAACACAAGGCCCCCGGCCCCAGGTCCCACAAGGGTGCTCAGGCCCTGAGGAAGGGGATGACGTGGGATGGTCTCGGGTCCAGCAGAGGACTCCCAGGTCCATCCTGGCAGTGGGGAGTCTGCATGGCCCTGGGCACAGACCTTCAGCTGCCACTGTCCCCCGGTCACTGCCCCACGACTCAGGCTGGCTCCTCCTCTGGGCTATCAGTGGGAAGCTCTTTGTAAGGCTTGAGGAGACAAGGAATGAAAATCCTTCCCCCACACCCTCACTGCAGGAACTCAAGTTTGCGTCCACTGTTTGAAAACCGCAAATGGGGCCGGCGCTGTGGCTCAGCGGGTTAACGCCCTGGCCTGAAGCACGGGCATCCTATATGGGCGCCGGTTCTAGTCCCGGCTGCTCCATTCCTGATCCAGCTCTCTGCTATGGCCTGGGAAAGCAGTGAAGATGGCCCAAGTCCTGGGGCCCCTGCACCCACGTGGCAGACCCAGAAGAGGCTCCTGGCTCCTGACTTCAGATCGGCGCAGCTCCAGCCATTGCGGCCATCTGGGGAGTGAACCATCGGATGAAGACCTCTCTCTCTCTGCCTCTCCTCTCTGGGTAACTCTGTCTTTCAAATAAATAAATAAATCTTTAAAAAAAAAAAAAAAAAGAAGAAGAAGAAAAAAACCAGGAACGCCATCTGTGGGCTCGGCCAAGGCCGGGGAGAGGCCGGGACTGGCTGCAGCAGGCACGCGTCACAGCCGCTCCCGCTCACAGCACGCCACGCAGGAGGGGCATCCGCCTACACCTGGCGAGCCGCCCGCGCCCGCACGTCACATCACCCCAACGGGGCCCTCTCTGCCCCGAGCCTGGCTGGCGGCAGCGGCCCCAGAGCTGGGGTCACAGGGCCCGTGCCACGTTCCCACGCCGCCAGAAGACAAACGTGTCCTCACAACTCACTTTTCTTTCACAGTCTCGAGCTTGAAGATGTGCACGGTCTCGGTGTTGCTGGAGGCAGACAGGAACATGCCGTCCATGCTGAAGGCCAGCGAGCAGATGCTCACACACCTGCAGACACAGCGCAGCCGGCGCGTCACGGGGCGGCCAGTGCCCATGGCAGGGGCGTCACAGGGCAGCCAGCGCCCATGGCAGGCGCATCATGGGGCGGCCAGCCTCCCATGGCAGGCGCATCACGGGGCGGCCAGCCCGCCCATGGCAGGCGCGTCACGGGGCGGCCAGCCACCCATGGCAGGCGCGTCACGGGGCGGCCAGCGCCCATGGCAGGCGCGTCACGGGGCTGCCAGCTGCCCATGGCAGGCGCGTCACGGGGCGGCCAGCCTCCCATGGCAGGCGCGTCACGGGGCGGCCAGCCCGCCCCAGGCCCTTCCAGCTGTAGGGGCACCGGCGGCCTGCTCTGCAGCCCCTCCCCATCCTCCAGAGAGGACACGGGTGATGCCAGGTACGGCGACTCTCAAACACATCCGTGGACGGCCAACTTGCCTGGCAGAGGGAACGGAGCTGCATTAAGCCACTCGTAGCTGACTCAGATGGATTTTCAGCTCCAAAGTCAGGGGAAGAAAATCCAATACTGAAATCACAGCAATTGCTGCCAGGCCAGAGGGGCAGCGGGCGCTCCGGCGAGCTTAAGGCAGCGGAACCGCACCGGCGGGCTCTCCGGCACAGCTCGGGCATCACGGGGAACCCCTCAGAGCCTTTAAACACAGGTCAATCTTCTCCCAAGCCCAGAAATACAAGTCCTCGAGCCCAGTCAACAGCTGTGAGGGGCTTTCTTTACCAGGGCTGGGGGACGCGAGGCAGGAGCGGCGCCTGCCTCAACGGTGCCGACATGGGTGCACACCTCAAACCCGCGGCGAGCACCAGCCAGAGTGTGCAGAGCAGACCCGGGGACTGGCGTGGCTGCCCAGAGGGGCCGCGCCGAGGGAGGTCAGGGAGAGCCACTGGAGGGAGCCACTGGGCTCGGGCTCCAGGCTTTGCAGGAGCTGTCAGGCTGCCAGACACGGGGACATCCCACGAGCAGAGCAAGACCCCAGAGGCGGCAACCCCCAGCAAGGGAAGGCTCCGCCTGGCTGGAGCAGGTGGGGCCGGGAAAGGGGACAGGGCAGGAAGGGGAGGCCTTCGGGTGTGGGCGGTTCCTGCAGCTAAGGAGGGCGTGGCTAACCGTACCCACGGCTTCAGCAGCTGCAGCACACACACCACATGGGGCTGGGAGCCAGGAGGGGCACACGGGGAGGGGCACTGCACCCAGATCAGCATAACAGACGAAGCCGGCCGCCTGGGACAGGGGCGGGCAGGGGCCGAGCAGGTCCCTCTGCTCGGGCACAGGGGAGGACGCAGGGGAGAGCAGCGGGGGCCACGTCTCAGCCTGGCTGTGACGTATGAAGGAGCGGAGCTGCAGCCGCCCACGGTGACTCCAGAAGGGGTGGCGTGAGGAGAGCAGTCGCGGACGGGGCAGTGGTCTTCTGGCTTTCAGAAGTCACCTGCCTGCCCTGGGGGGGCCGAGCAATGGGGGTAGGGAGGGCCTGGCAGACAGCGTGAGGGTCTCAGGAGGCTCCCAGCCAGAGTGTTCAGGAGAGGAGGTGTCACAGCCTCCGACAGTCCCACCTGAGACGAGGGACAGGCCCCCAGGCCACAGCAAGCATGGTGGCCCAGGGACTGAGCCTGCACCCTCACCAGCAGTCCAGGAAGGGGTTAACTACGGCACAGGAGTTTGCAGAAGACACGGGCAAAGGTGACAGAACTTAAACCGTCACTCCTATGGCCTTTAAAAGAGCTGACGCAGGGCCGGCACTGTGGCATAGAAGGTTAACCCTCTGCCTGCAGTGCCAGCATCCCATATGGGCATCAGTTCAAGCCCCGGCTGCTCCACTTCCCATCCAGCTCCCTGCTTATGGCCTGGGAAAGCAGAAGATGGCCCAAGTGCTTGGGCCCCTGCACCCACCCATGTGGGAGACCCGGAAGAAGCTCCTGGTTCCTGGCTTCAGCCTGGCACAGCCCTGGCCATTGTGGCCATCTGGAGAGTGAGCCAGTGGATGGAAGACCTCCCTCTCTGTTTCTCCCTCTCTAACTCGGCATTTCACATGAATAAATGAATAAGAGAGTCGAAGCTGTCTGCGGGGGACACGGGGCCTCAGCGAGCAGAGGCGGGGCATGCTGACCAGGTGGAGCCCCATCCCGCGCCCTGGCCGGGGGCTGGGGAGACCGGGCCCGGCTGCAACTCTGCAGCGAGATCTGGGCCTGAAACCCCACCCGTGGGACTCTAGGCTGACAGAACCCTCGCTGGCTTTGATTAAACATGCCCTGACGTCACCTCCCAGGCTGAGGCGACTGCTGGTCTCCATGGGTGCCCGGGCTGGGCAGACGGACGTTTGCTTTAGTGGGAACTTCCGGCGTTTCCTGAACTTGCCTCGTGTCCTGGCCCAGGCAACCCAGAGCGGACTCCGAGCCCGACCCCGGGTCCACGCGGGCCGTCCACGTGCCTTACCTCTTCACTCCCCTCCGGAACTCAAAGAGTTTCTGGCCCTCCGGAATGGAAAACACTCTAATCACGGTCCCCTGTGACAAGGAAGGGAAAAACACTTTGTTTATTTGCACAAAAACAGACTTTTTCCACTTCTAAGCACATCAGACTAAACATGAGCCCCGCGGGGTGATTCCAGCCACAGCTGCCCTGGGCCCGAGCGGCTCTGTGGCCTCTCCTCTCACCCCAGCCAGGGGCTGAGACTGCCTGCCACTCATGGACCAGTCTGCTGCCCGTCCTGGCACAGCGCTGTGCCACCTACTCCAATACTGAGGCCACACGTGGGATAGAGTGCTCCCACTTCTGTTGTTTAAAGCCCAAGTACAAAGAACCAGAACCAGAACCATCGTCACGTCCACGCAGCTGCGAGCGCCGGGCTCCCGGAGCACTGCCCCAAAGGGGCACAGAGCATGCTTACAACTACCGGGGCTGCTGCCCGAGATACCCACAGCCCATTGCCAAGGGCCTGGGTACCAGCCCGGCTCTGCTCTTGACCCAGCTTCCTGCTCACGCACACCCTGGCAGGCAGCAGGTGACGGCTCAGATGCTCGGGTCCCTGCCACCAAACACGAGAGACCCAGACTGGGCTGTTGGCTCTTAGCCTTGGCCTGGCCTCGCTGTGGCCGCTGCAGGCATTTGTGGGGTCAATCAGTGGACAGGAGCACTCTCAGTCACTCTGCCTTTCAAATAAATGAGAAAATAAAAAAGCTTAATGGTGAGACCACATCAAAAAGCGTCTACTAAGAAAAGAAGACAAGAGGACATATGAACAGATGGTAAGCTATAGATTGCCCTGGTTTGAAATGAACTATATATATTTTTTGTGGGCAAATTTCACTTTAATTGCAAAAGGTTTCATTTACAGCAAAATCATGAACAACAGGAAAGTTGCCAACTTTCACAGAGGAATATAAAGTTCCTTTTCTTATTTTTATTTGACAGGTAGAGTTATAGATAGTGAGAGAGAGAAAGAAAGGTCTTCCTTCCATTGGTTCACCCCCCAAATGGCCGCTATGGTCAGAACTGTGCCGATCTGAAGCCAGAAGCCAGGCACTTCTCCTGGTCTCCCATGGGGTGCAGGGCCCAAGCACTTGGGCCATCCTCCACTGCACTCCCGGGCCACAGCAGAGAGCTGGCCTGGAAGAGGAGCAACCGGGACAGAATCTGGCACCTATATGGGATGCCAGCGCTGCAGGCGGAGGATTAGCCAAGTGAGCCCCGGCGCTGGCCTTACAGTTCCTTTTCAACGCAGGCAGCAGAGATGGGGCCTGCCAGAGGGAACACAGCCCCTGGCTTCCCTGAGACCGACGTTTTCCAAGATGGTGAGTGAGGCCTGCCAGGATGCTCACGCGCGGAGGAAGGAGACCCCTCATCCACACCATCGGGCAGACAGCAGCAGTCCTGCCCCTGGGCACAGCAAGCGGACAGTCTTTGGGTGAAGAGAGGGTAGAACGCTGAGTAAAAGGGGGGCAGCAACTCCCATTTACAGCCAGAAACGTCAGTGCCACCGAGCACGGGATGACTGACCTCCGCTGCCTGGTGCAGTCCACCAAGAAAACCCAGAACCAGCAAATTCAAGGTCGCTCATCCCGGCAGTGGGACAGCAGAACGGCTGCTCGATGGCTGGGCCCTCGGGCCGCTGCTCGCAGCTCCGCCGGCCTCCCCAGCCCAGGCAGGCCCGTGAGGTGGCGGCGGCTCCTTAGCAGCGCCATTCCCAGCGGCACCGTGGGGTCACCGCCGGTGACATAAACCAGGACATCAGAGGCGCGCAGCTGATCAAGTAACCCTTGAAAGTCAAGGTCATGCTGACAAGCAGAATGAGAACCAAACAGGGAGGGTCCTGCCCTGACAGCTCTAGGGAAATCGTGCGTGTCCCTGACGGAGCTGGGACAGACAAGCACAGCGTTCAGGGCAAAATCGAAGACTGGCAACAGAAGAAAGGACGAGCCAGGCGGCGTGTTGCGTGTACGCACCGTAAGTGCCCACTGCACGTATCAGGATCAGAAGAGAAGCTGCAGTAGCAACGCACACACTGGCAGCACCCACCGACGCAGTGGCGCCTCCCAGCTCAGAACCCGAGAAGTGGTGCTCGTCTGGGTCAGCCAGCGCTCGGTGAGATCAGCAGGACCACGGTGCTGACCATCAGGCACCAGACCCACGCAGGACGGTTGGTGCCGGTGCACACGGCAGCACACGCAGCAGCTGCTGGGGCAGAACCCCGTCCGAGGCGCGACCATCTTCATTTGTCTGGCTGCGGGCGCAGTGGCGCCGAGTGCATGCCCAAGTTTACGAGAGCTTTGCTGCGCAGCCCTGGGCCCACCACGCTGCTCCCGCCAGCTCTTCTGCCACCCCGACTCCCAACCCGTGCGTTCAACCACCTGGCTCCATGATCCCCTCGGGAGCTCCAAGCGGCGGTGCCCAGCCAAACCCTGCACTCCCAAGGCGGCAGAGCAGGCGGCACACGCGGGCAAAATGAACTATTTTAAAGATACCACTTTCCCCACTGCCCTGCGAAACCAAACGGACACGGGATCTGCAGACAGGTGGACGGAGCGCGCGTGTCTGGGAGAGTCAATGAGAGAACAGCGAGGGACGGACCAGGACTCGCAACGTCTGAGCAGGAAAAGCCCCGGAACAGAGCGGGGAACCCTGAAGCACCAAGCACTCACGTGTGTGAGGCACGAAGAACTTCCAGTACTCGACTTCACACTAGCCCAGTGTAAAGACTCAAAACAGGTAAAATGTAAAAACCCACCAAGACACCAGACACGTTCATGAATACTGAAAACAGCAGGCGATGTGGGCTCAGGGCCCCACGGAGCTGCTACAGGAAACTGGCAAGTTCACACCCAGGGACTCTCATGGCTGCGAGAGGTCAGAGCTCCTTGGAGGAACCGGGTAACCGAGCACCAGGGACGGGGCACGTCCCAGGCACGGAAAGCCAGCCGCGGCAAAGGCTGGGCCTTCTCGGCCCACCCTGAGCTCCGCACATGGTTCGCTGACACATCCCACACGCGACGCTAACCAGTCGTCCCGTCACCGCAGGCCAGCAAGCTCCCTGCCACAGGGTCAGGCCCATCCCGAGGGCCACGAAGGCTGAGAAGGCCGAGGTCTACACCTGCAGACTGAGCCACTGACAGCAAACCACGCCTCTGCTCTCCACAGCCTTCCCAGGAGGCAGCCAAACCGAGTCATCAAAGGACATAGGATGCCAGCCATTCGATGCGACAAGGTAACCGGTGAGCCAATCCCACTCACTGCCCAGCTTGGGACCCTGGGCTGAGAGCCCTCAGCACAAAACGGAAACATCTTACTTTGCAGAGGGAACGGCCACGTGAGGCGGAACAAGGTCCTGACACAGGGGAACCCCAGCCGGCACCGCCTTCACCGAGAACCAAAACCTTCCTCAAAGACAGCTGGAGGGGGCGGTGGCGCAGTGGGTTAATCCTCCACCTGCGGCGCCGGCATCCCATATCTGCACCAGTTCTAGTCCCGGCTGCTCCTCTGCCAATCCAGCTCCGTGCTAACGCACCTGGGAAAGCAGCGGAAGACGGTCTAGGTGCTTGGGCCCCTGCACCCACGTGGGAGACCAGGAAGACGCTCCTGGCTCCTGGCTTCAGATCAGCCCAGCTCTGGTTGTTGCAGCCATTTGGGGAGTGAACCAGCGGATGAAGATCTTTCTCTGTCTCTCCCTCTCACTGTCTGTAACTCTACCTCTAAAATAAATTTAAAAATCTTTAAAAAAAAAAAAAAAAAGAGCGAGATTCAGTGGGCAGGAAGCAACACCAGAGTGAAGTGAGCTATCAGGCAAGTGCGGGGAGGGACAGACAGGAGCTCCGACAGAGCCCGGCACGGAGCCGAGCGAGGACATGGACCAGGCCACGTCACGCTTGTGGGGGCCATGGCCATGCTGTCATCTGCACAGACAGGCTTTACAAAGCCCATGTCCTCAGCCCAGCAGTTCTTCTCACTGGACTCTCACGAGTTAGGGAATCAAACAGAAGATTCCCGATTTAACTACGCATCACCCTAACAACACGGAAGGGACAACTTAGTGCCCCAAATGTGATGCTTAGGAAATCATAATTGAGCATTACTGTACAGGCATGAAAGTTGTTTTTTTTTTAAGACTTATTTATTTGAAAGGCAGAGTTGCAGAGAGAGAGAGAAAGGTCTTCCATTCACTGGTTCAGTCCCCAAATGGCTTCAACGCTGGCCAAAGTGAGGAGCCAGGAGCTTCTTCCAGGTCTCCCATGGATGTAGGGGCCCAAGCGCTTGGGCCATCTTCCACTACTTTCCTAGGGGCATTAGCAGAGAGCTGGATCGGAAGTGGAGCAGCTGGGATTCAAACCCACACCCATATGGGTTGCCAGTGCTGCAAGCGGTAGCTTTACCCACTACAACGCTAGTTCTCTTTTTTTTTTTTTTTTAAAGATTTATTTATTTGAAACTCAGAGTTACACCGAAAGAGGAGAAGCAGAGAGAGAGAGCGGTCTTCCGTCCACTGGTCCACTTCCCAATTGGCCATTAACGGCTGGAGCTGTGCCAATCCAAAACCAGGAGCCAGGAGCTTCCTCTGGGTCTCCCACAGGGGCACAGTGGCCCAAGGACTTGGGCCATCTTCTACTGCTCTCCCAGGCCATAGCAGAGAGCTGGATCAGAAGTGGAGCAGCCGGGTCTCGAACCGGTGCCCATATGGGATACCAGCGCTTCAGGCCAGGGCATTAACCTGCTGCGCCACAGCGCCAGCCCCCAATGCTAGCCCATTGAAAAGCTTTTTAAAACATTTATTTCAGGGGCTGGCGCTGTGGTTTAGAAGATAAAGCCACTACCTGCAGCACCAGCATCCCATAGGAGACCCAGAAGTTGTTCCTGGCTCCTGGCTTCAGATCGGCGCAGCTCTGGCCATTGTGGCCATCTGGGGAGTGAACCAGTGGATGGAAGACCTTTCTCTCACTGCCTCTGCCTCTTTGTAACTCTGCCTTTAAAATAAATAAATAAATCTTTTAAAAATTATTTATTTTAGGGGCTCACTTGGCTAATGCTCCACCTACGGTGCCGGCATCCCATATGGGCACCGGGTTCTAGTCTCGGCTGCTCCTCTTCCAGGCCAGCTCTCTGCTGTGGCCCGGGAGTGCAGTGGAGGATGGCCCAAGTGCTTGGGCCCTGCACCCCATGGGAGACCAGAAGGAAGCTCCTGGCTCCTGGTTTCGGATCGGCTCAGCTCCGTCTGTTGTGGCCATGTGAGGAGTGAACCAGCAGATGGGAAATCTTGCTCTCTGTTTCTCTCTGTAATTTTACCTCTCAGAAAAATAAGTATTTACAAAAAAATTAAAAAATGACCATGTCCCACAGGGGAGTGGCTGGTTCAACGCCCAGTCCTGCCCGTGCAGAGCCTGGGGGCAGCAGCTTCACCCACCGAGCCATGAGGCCCGCCCAGCGGTTCTCCATTATCCACAACAGGCACTGGCTGTCTCGGTCAGATAACAGGGGGGTGTTTAAATCCCTGCGCGCCAGCAGATACGACATCCTAACTTGCTTTTTTTTTTTTTTTTAATTCACGTATTTATTTGCGAGACAGAGCCATCTTCCATCCGCTGGTTCAGTCACCCCATGGCTGCAACAGGCGGGGTTAGGCCAGGCTGAAGCCAGGAGCCCGAAACTCCATCCGGGTCTCCTCCCCACCGAGAGCAGCCAGGACCCCAGGCACCGGAGCCGTCACCTGCCGTCTCCCAGAAGCGTGAGCAGGAAGCTGGACCGGAAGCACAGCGCCACGCCCGCCCCTTCTCTCTACGTCACCTGTTCTGTGACTCGGCCGAGCCAACAGAGCGAAGTCTGCTGAAGCCGCAGCAGCTCACTCACCTTCTCAGAAGCAGTGGCAAGTTTGGTTCCGCTTGCGTCAAAAGTCAACGCCGCTAAAGGACTGTCATGAGCCGGGATCATGTTCGCAGCTCTCTGAAAACAGAACCACGCAAACGTGAGGTGGGGCACGGCTGGCCGGAAGCAGCTCCACGTGCCACGGTCCCATCTTCAGGCGGGACTACACCACCACCACAGCCAACCCAGCTCAACTGAAAAGTGATCAAATGTGGCTACTCCAGGTGCGCCCCGCGCCCAGGCTGTCGGACGGCAGACGGCACTCACCAAGTTAATGGTGTCGAAGACCTGCACCTCCCCGATGGTCGCGCTCCCCGGGTACGCCAGGTAGCAGTTGTCGTTGTTGATGGACAGCGCACACAGGCCTGTGGACAAGGCAGCCGTCAGCGCTCACGGCAGTGTGTGTGCCCGGGGACCGACACGAGGAGCACAGCGGCCAGGCAGTCCGAGTGTCAGCCCGACCTAGCACGCACCGGGAAAGCTCGGGAAAGCCAGGAGCGCGAGGGCACCTGCAGGCGGCATTTCCTTACAGTTCTGCACTTTGGTGACACCAGTGCCAGACAGGCCTTTGGTTGGAGCCATTCACTGGGCCACACCACGAGCCGATCAAACCAGTGAGTTTATATGGCCACAGTAGGATGGGAGTTTGGCTTAAGATCATACTTTTTTTTTTTTTTTTTTTTTTTTTTTTTTTTAAGATTTACTAATTTATTTGAAAGGCAGAGTTAGAGAGAGAGGGAGAGACAGCTGACACCCGAGGCTAGGCCAGGCTACTGGCCAGGAACTTCTTTCAGGTCTCCCATGCAGGTGCAGGTGCCCAAGGAATCGGGCCATTTTCTGCTGCTTTCCCAGGCACATCAGCGAGGGAGCTGGATCGGAAGTGGAGCAGCCGGGACCTGAACTGGCGCCCATGTGGGATGCTGGCATCACAAGCAGCGGCTTCACCCACTACGCCTCAGCGCCGGCCCCTAAGGCCATGCTTTTCTGCCTGACTGGGGCCAGCGCTGTGGCTACAGGTGAAGCTGCCACCCACAACACGAGCACCCCATACAGGCACCCGTTCATCTTCCGGCCACTCCACTTGCCATCCAGCTCTCTGCTAATGCACTTGGGAAAGCAGCAGAAGACGGCCCAAGTGCTTGGACCCCTGCACCCACGTGGGGGAACTGGAGGAAGCTCCTGGCTTCGGCCTGGCCAAGCTCTGGTCGTTGCAGCCATCTGGAGAGTGAACCAGCTAATGGAGCACCTCTCTCTCTCTCTCTCCAATTCTGCCTTTCAAATACACAGTAAAAATAAATCTTCAAAAAAAAAAAAAAAAAAAGCTACCTCCCTTACGGACCCTAAGAAGAGAACCAGTGTGTCCCCTAGGGGCACTGTGGGAAGACGGACTCTGCAGACAAGCGACCTACCCGCGGGGTTTGGAGGGGTCTCCCTGATCGTGTGCAGCACCTTCATGTCCCGGATGTTGTGGATGTACAGAGACTCTTCCAGGCACACGATGAGCCTCTGGAAGCAGGTTAAAGAGAAAAGCAAACTGAGAAATCCCCAGTACAATATCCACCCCCAACCTTCACGCACTCAGCTCTCAGAGTGAGACTCCCAACCACCACCGGGCACCTCGCAGCCTGGATGCCTGAGGCGCCAGGAGACCGACCACTGCCCATCACCTGTCGCGTGGGGACCGATGGCTGTGCCTGCTGCCACGCCGTGTACGCCACCTGTCCCCTGAATTCTAACTAGGTGACGAATGCAGTATTACAGAAACAGTACTAGGACAAGTGTGCAACGAGGCACAAGTATGATGAAAGTAAAATCTATCGCTTCTCGGCCTTTTGGCTAAGATAAAGTGAAAAAAGTCTAGAAACTGTTCAGAGCTACAGAACTTCATTCTGAACTCCGAGGAAATGAACGTGGACTTGCAAGGGAAGCATCAGGAAATGATTCTCGCGGGACAAAGTGGCCCGCACCGTGCGACAGCCACAGGAAGGCACACCTGTGCGCTTGACATTTCAGGGCGCTCAGGACGTGAAGTCTGGGCATGTCCCACTCTCACCAGCTGTCAGTCAACAGGCGGACGCTCGTCCTCCGGCCTCCCTGCAGCCACCCTGGCCGTCACGCCCCGGAGCTCCGCTGCTGGATGCCGCCGTGCTCGCCCTGTGCCCTGCACACAGCTCTGCGGGACGCGGGCTGAGGCGCAGGGGCTGCGGCACTCACCTGCCGGTTCAGCTTCACGGCCAGGATGGTGTTTGAGTAGCTGTAGTTGCAGATCTCGGTTCCCTTCTTGAAGTGGCAAACCTTGAGCTTCCTGGGGGCTTTGAGGCTGACGATGGCCACCAGGCTGCTGGAGAACAGCCGCTCCACGATGCACACGTCCTCCGTGCTGGCTGCGACCAGAACAAGAACAGAGAGACACACGTCGACGTCCCTGTGCCAACAGGCTGACCTGCTCACACAGCAAGCGCGCGCCCAGCCCTCCACCGCTCCACCGGCCAGCCCTAACGGGGACTCAGGTCCCCACTGCGTGTGCCATGAAGACACGAGCACACCAGGACAACGCCAGGCATCACACTCCCACAGGGACCCAGGCACCAGGCAGCTCCAAAGGGGGAGGCACACACGGGGAGGACCATACGGGAGGTGGGACGTGTGCTACCACTCAGGACAGAACAGTCACAGAACCAAGCGTGCCAGTCTGGGCGTGTCCGTGCACTCTCGGCCGCTTGCCCCAGCCAGTGCCCGCTGCCAGCCTTCCACACGCTTCCCAGGCAGTGAGGCTTTCTTCACGAGGGACAGACGCGAGCGAAGGCCCGCGCGCGGAGCCGAGTGTGCGCCCAGGAGGCAGGGCCCCACCCGCGGCTTCTCTGCCCAGCATCCCCCCGTGACGACCACGGGTGAAACCGGCCCTGTCTGCACCGTGTTCACCGCCGGGCACACCCTGAGTGACCGCCGTGCTCAGGCATGAGGCCAAGCCCAGGAGACACAGGTACAGGACCCGAAACGTCACCCTCTGCTGTGGAACAGCTTCCAAGACCAGGCCCCATGTCCTCTGTTCGGCCCCTCTGCCTCACCGAGCCACACCGAGACGCTTCCCTGGGAGCGGTGGCTTGGAACTGTGCAGTCTCCAGCGCTGGAGGCCTGGTGTCTACACCGGCGGCTGCTGCACAGGCCCCGTTGGGCCTTCCTCCACACTGTCCTGCTCCCTCTCCTCTGGCTCCCTCCCCGGGGCCTCATTCTCTGTGTCAGCAGCACCCTCTCTGCAGGCCAAGTCCCCAGGCGGAGCCCTGCCTGTCTGCAGCTGTGCCCAGGTGGACATCACCCAGAGAGAGGAGCGGCTCTGCACACTGCTGGACAGCCGGAAATGGAGCTTATGAGTAGACACTGATTACTGGCCAAACCCCAAAACACCACTAACAGACTCTGTTAAACTGCAGCCTACTCCAAAGCGGACCACTCCCCCTGTGACACTCCCAGCTGGTCACGCACGATCACCGAGCGCCACAGCTGAGTGCTGACGCTGCTCTTGGTCAAGTCCAACTGTCCTCGTGCTGATGCACCCACTGGGCAGGCGCTGCAGGGCTGGCACGGTCACCCGACGGGGTCTTGATGCGAGTACTGGGGCTCGCTACAGGGAAACGTGGCATTCACAACACGGATTTTTTAAAATGTCTTATTTATCTGAAAGGCAGGGCAAGAGAGAGAGCGCACTTCCATGCCCTGGTTCACTCCGCAAATGGCCGCACCAGTCAAAGATGGCTGGGCTGGGCGAGCACCCGAGCCCTTGGACCATCACGGGCTGCTTCCCGGGTGCACCAGCAGGGAACTGGCCAGGAAGCAGAGCAGCTGGGACTTAAACTGGCGCTCCGATACGGGTGCCAGGCCAGCAAGCGGCGGCCTAGCACACTGCGCCACAACCTTGTCCCCCAAAATGATTTCTGATCAGTTTTATCTGAAGCCACCGGCCCCCTCACATTGAATCAGCGGCAAAAGAACTTATTTCCAGATACGGTTGCTCCTGCGCCTCAGAGACGGCATCTGTGACCCTGCCACTCGCTGGAGTTCGTGGCCCCCTGGGGCTTTGGGCGCCCCCAGCTCTGGGCCACGTGATGGGCACCTTCCCAGCTGTGGCTGAACGGGAACGGGAAGAGGAGGAGGAGGGAAAGGCACTCAGGCCACAGCTGGAGCAGCTGCTCTGCAGAGCGGGAATGTGGGCGAGCCGTGGAGATCTCACGGAGGACTTTCGTTCTGCAGCTCAGGAACCAGCGGAGACCGGATGGAGCAGGGGTGCCGCAGACACGGCCAACTGAAGGAACAGGGCCCTGCTGACCGCGGCGGGGAGGCCGGCACGGGCTCCCCTGCTCCCCCACACCGGGACGATGGCTGCAGAGAAGCAGCGTGGTATGTGAAGGAGAGAGGGACTTCCAAGGGAAAGCAGTGGCTCTCGGAAGCATGAACGAGACACTGAGCTTTGTGGAGACTCACAGGTGGGAGGCTGAACAAGTAATGACGGGAGGAAACAACCCCGGGAAGCTAAGTCGTCAGAAACCTGCGGGCCCTGAGCAGGCTGCGCAGTGCCACCGCTGCCCGTGGCGACCAAAGACCGCCAGCATCAGCTCGACAGAGGCGCAAGAGGCAGTGCAGGGTCCAACAGTCACGCACGGTGATCCTTCGGAGCCCTCTCCGTAAGCGATAAAGGACGCTACGAAAAGCCTGCAGCTAGTCTTGATGATGAAAAAACTGAACTCGCCCCTTAGCCTGGAAGGGCGGCCAGGGGCCACTCCCCTCCCTTCCTCTGGAGGCCGACGCTGCTAAGGCAGCAGGACCTGGAAGACGGAGTCTAACCGCCTGGCCCACAGCCCTCATCCATCTACAACGCAACTACCAGAACTACCGAAGGTCACAGGATGCAGGATTAAAATACAAAATCCCCCTCAGCCCTACAGACCAGCAGGAACTGCAAAGTGAAACAAACAAAACCCATTTATAATACGGCCCGAACCCAACTACCAGGAACAAATTAACAAAAGATGCAAGATCCCAACATCAAAACCCGCAGAACACTTCCTCAGGCAAGCTGGAGAAGAGCTAAATGAACGGTGAGAGTCGCGCAGTTCACGGACTGGATACACAGTATGGTCAGGACAACGACTCCTGCGCGGGCCCATCAGTCCTGGCAGGCTGTCGTCAGAGGCTAAGGCTGATACGGAAAGGGACAGGACTGCGAAGGTCAAGGCTACCTTTGGGAAAGTGGAGATGAAGACCTGCGAACACAACACGGGAGGGAACAGAGCCCAGAAGGGGGACCTCTCAGGGAAAGAATCCTCTCAATGGTGATGGAATAGGAAGTCGGGGAAAGATCAAGACTTCAGAACGGGGCTGGCGCTGTGGTGTGGTGGGCTAGGGCCTCCGCTTGTGGCACCCGCTTCCCACGTGGGCACCAGTTCAGGTCCCAGCTGCTCCTCTCCCGACCCAGCTCTCTGCTATGGCCTGGGAAAGCAGAAGATGACCCAAGTCTTTGGGCCCCTGCACGCACGTGGGAGACCCGGAGGAAGCTCCTGGCTCCTGGCTTCGGATCGGCGCAGCTCCGGCCGCTGCGGCCATTTGGGGAGTGAACCAGCAGATGGAAGACCTCTCCGTCTCTCCCTCTCTCTGTCTGTAACTCCACCTCTCAAAATGTAAATAAAACAGTAAAAGAAAAAAAAAGACTTCAGAACAGCAAAACAACCGTCCACCAGACGGTCCACCAGAAAGAAATCAGCTGTCCTCGACAAATGGTGAATTTGCCTTCAGCTGCAAAGAGCTGAGTAACCCAAGAGAAAAACAGGCAACTGAACAAATGCATCCATGAACACGTGGAAAACACAGCAAGTTCAATTTCAGTTGATTGTAGCATTAAATCGGCAAATGGATGTATTCTTCCTCTCCCACGTGCAGGTGTGCTGACATCTGCGCACGCCCAGCATCGGTGGGCAGAAGCCAACGGGCAGCAGCGGCGCTTGACCGCGTGCTGATCTTCTGCGCCTCCACGTTCGCCTGCAGGAGTTTCCCTGACGAGGGACAAAGCCCACCCCACAGCCTCTACTCGAGACAGGATGCCCACACCAGCCCCGCTTCCAGGAGCCCCAGATGGAAACCCAAAGTCCACGGCTGAGGAGTGGACACACACACAACACCTGTACCCATCACCGCTCTTCCCGGGCACACCAAGGAGCCAGCCACGCAAGCTTGCACCACCTGGCGTGTCCGGCGCAGCACACCCACGGAGGCAGAAAGCAGACTGGCGGCTGTGCTGGGCCCGGGGCAGGCGCAGCACACGGGCAGTGACTGCCAATGGATCCAGGCTTCTGTCGGCAATGATGAAATCTCTTACAGTTAATTGTGCAGGCTGCACAACCAAGTCAGCACACCAAGACCCAGAGGGCCGTGCGCTTCACACAGGTGAACCTGTGGCACGTAAATCACATCTCCAAACAGCCTTCAAGCAGCAGCAGCACCAAGCCAGGCAGCCAACGGCCACAACCGAAACTCTGGCTGCAGGATCAAGACCTGATGCAAGACCCGTTTGGGTCCTGGCTGCTCTTCTCCCGACCCAGCTCTCTGCTGTGGCCTGGGAAAGCAGTGAAGATGCCCAAGTCCTTGGGCCTCTGTACCGGCGTGGGAGACCCAGATGGAGCCCCTGGCTCCTGGCTTCCAACTGGCCCAGCTCCAGCTGTTGCAGCCATTTGGGGAGTGAGCCAGTGGATGGAAGACCTCTCTCCGTCTCTCCCTCTCTCTGCAGTTCTGCCTCTCAAATAAATAAAAAATGCTTTTAAAAAGTCTGAGGCAAGAAGCACCTGAGGCAAGGCGGCAGGGTATGCTGACCAGCACGTTAGGCCACCTGGGGAGACAGACACAAAGGGTCAGGGCCGACCCTTTGACAACCACATGTCCACGGAGCCTAGGAGATACTGGGATGGGCTCGAGGAGTCTAGCACTGAGAAATCCCAAGTGGACAGCGACAGGAGAAAGGAGACCTCCTGCGCAAGTAGCCACTGGACACGGAAGGACGCCCCGCGGGCCGCGCGCCCAGCCCCTCCCAGGAACGCACCTGACATGCGCTGTGAGGGTCAGAGCTGGTGTCGTTTCTCGGCCGCATCATTCGAGAATCCCTAACCTTTCAAGAGCACATTCCGTGCCCAAGAGAACTCTCTCCCTTCCCTCTCTCTCTCTCTCTCCCCCTCACACTGTCCACTATGCTCGAGTGCAGACACCTCAGCCCTGCCACGAAACAGTGGCAACGGTCCACGGGAGACACAAAAGGGACGGCAATCCAAAGAGAACCAAGGAAGCAGCCGCCGGCCTGTGCCGATCCAGACAGCATGCCACCAGGCCACCAGTGCTCAGACGGCACCAGGCCACCGGTGCCCAGACGGCACGCCAGTGCCCAGACGGCACCAGGCCACCAGTGCCCAGACGGCATGCCACCACGCCACCGGTGCCCAGACGGCACCAGGCCACCAGTGCCCAGATGATACGCCACCAGGCCACCAGTGCCCAGACGGCACCAGGCCACCAGGCCACCAGTGCCCAGACGACACCACGCCACCAGGCCACCAGTGCCCCGCCGGCAGCGCTCGCCGGCCCCGGGAGGGGTGAGCCAAGCTGCGGGCCTCAGGCACCGCAGGCCCTGCTCTCAGGACTCGTCCAAGGCGGGCTCTGCCAGTTTCTGTCCAACTTTCTTCCTAGTGACAGTGCCTGGGAAACTCAGGAAATTAATTACTGAATTGAGGAGCGCGCGCTGTTTGGCTTCTCTCGGCGCTGTTTATGGCTGAAGTGGGAAGGGCAGAGGGAAGGCTGCCCGAGGCCTGCAGCTCCCCAGGGATGCAGGCTACGAGCTGGGCGGCTGACAGCGCCTCGGGCCGGATCCAGATCAACCCTCCCAACAGCACGTGGGCTGGAACAGGGATGGACGCCGGCAGCCCTGGCTCTCCGACCTTCAGAGGCAGGCACGGCCCCAGAGCACACGGTGCCCAGTCCCTGGGGCTGAGCAGGGAGACTGCCACCAGGTGCTCCCCTCGACGAAGGCCGCAGGGACTTCTGAGCTGGGATCATCGCGCCTGCCTCGGGTTCAGAACCAAATATGCATGCGGTCTGTCTGGCAGCTCAGAACTTAGAAAAAGTAAAGAGGCCGGCGCCGTGGCTCACTAGGCTAATCCTCCGCCTAGCGGCGCCGGCACACCGGGTTCTAGTCCCGGTTGGGGCGCCGGATTCTGTCCCGGTTGCCCCTCTTCCAGGCCAGCTCTCTGCTATGGCCAGGGAGTGCAGTGGAGGATGGCCCAGGTGCTTGGGCCCTGCACCCCATGGGAGACCAGGAAAAGCACCTGGCTCCTGGCTCCTGCCATCGGATCAGCGCGGTGCGCCGGCCGCAGCGCGCCGGCCGCGGTGGCCATTGGAGGGTGAACCAACAGCAAAGGAAGACCTTTCTCTCTGTCTCTCTCTCTCACTGTCCACTCTGCCTGTCAAAAAAAAAAAAAAAAAAAAAAAAAAAGGTCCCCTTCTGGGCTCTGTTCCGAAAAAGTAAAGAAAGCACACGACGTAGAACCTGAAATAACTTGTACATAGCAACATCTTACAGACAACAGATCTACGTCCTCTCCGCCCACAGCGTGGCGTTGTTGCACTCACGTTCCAGGGACAGAGGCCACAGACCTGCGCATTAAGTTTTCTTCACACAACGGCAACGGGACAGCGGGGAGTCCTGCAGCTTTCCCGTAGCTTGGAACGACAACACCCAGCGCTGCTTTTTCTCGTGTTCCCTGCTGTGCAACTGCTGGTCTGGTCCTTCCCCAGGACCCTGTGTCCCGGAGACAGTGACCGAGAGCGGAGAGCGGGGAGGGCAGCAGCCGGCCCGCGGCTCCCATCGGCGTGGGCTCTGCCGGGTCCGCTCACAGAACAACGCCCACACGGCCTTGCCCCCAGGAGCCCAGCTGCTCTCTAAGCAGACCCTCCTAGCGTTCAGTAAAAGCGTGGGCCCAGGAAAGGCGCACAAGTTCCGGCCAAGGGAACAGTGCCCTGCTTCAGTTTGAAGCTTCAACTCGGAAAACACCTCCGTCCCCTCCACCACCTACCCTGGAGGGCCGAAGGCCACTATGAATACAGAAACTGACACCACGCCGCCTTCCCGGGCCGCTCAGTGAACAAGACAGCACACGCTGCTCCCCCAGGAGCCCCCGGCAGTAACTGCACGCTGAGGGGGAGCCCGGGGACTCTGCGGGGACAAGCTGCGGAGCAGCGGCAGTGTGGTCACGGATCTTCACCGCCACGCAGCTCTAACAGGTGGCACCGTCGTGCCAGGGTCTGAAGAAGGCCCAAGGGGAGGGCCCAGGGAAGAGTGACAGGGATGCCACCCACAGCTCACCCCGCTCCCAGGCCATCGCCCACTCCCAGGCCACAGCCCACCCCGCTCCCAGGCCACAGCTCACCCCGCTCCCAGGCCATCGCCCCACTCCCAGGCCACAGCCCACCGCGCTCCCAGGCCACAGCCCACCCCACTCCCAGGCCATCGCCCCACTCCCAGGCCACAGCTCACCCCACTCCCAGGCCACAGCTCACCCAGCTCCTAGACCAGAGCCTACCCAGCTCTCAGACCACAGCTTACTCCATTCCCGGGCCACATCCCACCCATCCCACCCTGCTCCCAGGCCACACCCACCCCACTCCCAGGCCACACCCACCCTGCTGGTAGAAGGCAGCCCTGCAGAAGGCTCAGGAAGCACCAGGAGCAAGGCTAAGGCTGAACGGGGCCAAACCTAAGGGGGCCAAGGGGGCCAAGGGGGCCAGGGGGGCCAGCGGGGCCGGGGGGCCAAGGGGGCCAAGGGGGCCAAGGGGGCCAAGGGGAGCCAGGGGGGCCAAGGGGGCCAGGGGGAGCCAGGGGGGCCAGGGGGGCCAAGGAGGCTAAGGGGGCCAAGGGGGCCAAGGGCGCCGGGACGCCTGCAGGCCCTGCTGGAGACAGACACACCTGCAGCTCACCTGACATGCAGGGCACCCGGTGGGCTGGGAGGGCTCCTCCTTCCGAGTCACTGGCACAAAGCAGCGGCCCCTTTCCTGGGGTCATCAGCCTACACTGTGTGCTCACCATGGGCCCCAGGCCCAGTGAGTGACAGTCACTCAGCGCTGGCCCTCCGGGTCTACTGCGTGAAGGGAATCGCCCACAGCCTCCCGATCGGTGAAGCACCACCCCACGGGGCGTGACCCTGGCCCTCGCAGTAGGCAGGAACTTCCAGCTCTGGGAGACGACTGAGATGATCCAGCCTCTCCCGACCCACGTCCCTGCGTGGCAGGTTACAGGGCGCCGCGAGCCCTCCACTCGATTCCCTGGACCGAGGACTCGCACCTGGGCTGCTCCAAATGGTACATTCGGGGGGAGGAATGTACAAGAACTGGTAACCCCGCCTAAGTGAGCAGAAACACAAGTGAACGAGAAAGTGGCAAACACACGGAGAGACGCTTCCCGCACAGCGCAGACAGCGGCCGAGCACGCGCAGACGCCCAGCGCCTCCGGTGCTCAGGGAAACGCGAAGCTGAGCTTTGCCACCCCACCGGTCAGAACGGCTACAGCCAACCCCAGTGCCAACACCCGCGCTGGCACTCCCACATCACGGCGGGAAAGGAAACCGTGCAGCCCCTCCCCGCCGGGCGGGCGTTCTCTCCCACCCACACAGAAGCCTGGGGCCGTGAATGCCATCAGCCCACACGGGCTCCAACACGCGACCGGCGGAACAGACCGGCGCATCTACCACGGACACTACTCGGGAATGCAATGAAAGGACAGCAGCTCAGGGACGTCCCAGGCAACCTATGAGCAGAAGTGCCACTCGAGGAGCTGAGTGCCTCCACCACGGGTCACTGTTGAAATGGCCAAGCTGCTGAAACAGAAGAGACCAGCGGGCTGCCCGGGCATCGGCGAGGGGCAGGAGCCACCCAGTACCTTACGGTGGTGGAAACGAACACCACACACGCGCACAGATGGGCGTCAGCCCCCTGGCTACGGCATGGACTGCAGTCCCACGGGATGTTCCCACTAGGGGAAGGGGGCACAGGGTACCCAGCATGCGCGGCCCTTCTCACGACTGCGCACGGGCCTGCAGCTGCCTGCACGGGGTGGAGCCCACGGCGCAGCACCAGTGTGGAGGCCTGACCAGCTGTTCATTCACAAACACAGCCACACACACCGCGAAGCACATGCAGACATCAGTCCCACACCTACGCACGCCTGCTCCACCCAGAGAGGAAGTCACCCACCCACAGCCCCGCGGAGGGTGACCGAGCGAGAAACCAAAGCCCACAGCCCATGCCCGCTGCGCACCGCCTCTCTGCCGGGCAGGCGCCCCCGCTGCTGTCAATCCACAACTCGAGAAAGCCAGTCCCTCCTCCAGGAGTTAACATTCGCAGCTTCCTGGAAGCCCATCGTGACAGGCAGACAAGCAGTTCCAAGGGGGAGAAATTAACAGAATAGCCCAAACAGTGAGACACCCTGTGTGCCCGTGACTGTGCGGCTGGCACAGCGCCAGAGACCTGGAGCGGTACCCAGACTGCCTCCCGCTGCCCGCTCACACGCACTCTGCAGGAGGGGGGACCGGGCACAGTGTCTGCACAAAGTTAACCACCACCCTGTGTTTGAATTTAAGATTGCATTGCAATTCCAATACAACTTGTCTATTTGTTAAGAAGGGGAAAAATAAAGCAAACACTTACTGCATTCATAGATCTGTTCCAGCTTATCCACAGAAGAAAGGGAGAAAAATTTATAACCGGACTTACTACCAACAGCTAGGGACCTGCAAAAAAGCCAAATTCAGAAATAAGAGCTGATGCAGGCAACGTGATCACGCACACCCTCGCTCCCAGCCAGTGCTGCTCAACGGCCAGCATCCCTACCAAGCCACACGGTCCAAGTCACTGCAGCTCCCATCAGCGGCGTGGCAGACAGACGCCCCACGGCCAGACTACACACTCTTCTGTGCAGCCGGTCCGGCATGTCGGGGCTCCCGTGAGAGCAGTGACTACAGGCAGTGGCGACTATGCAGGATGCGTCCGCTCTAGCGGGAATCACCCCACGCTGACACGTGTATCAAAACGTCATTGTGCACCTTAAATACATACATGCAACTGCACTTGGCAGCTGTACTTGAATAAGCTAGGAAGACGTTTAATAAACGTAATAAAGACAAAGCAAATAAACCAAGAAAACAAAAACAAAAAAACTAACCTCTATGCAACGTTACAGTTTGAGACATGAACTAATCAGTGCTAAATGATTCCCTGGAAACGAGTCCGGTCCCCGGGTGATCTGACGCGTGGACCAGAGGCGTCCGAGGCTCAGAGGCGAATCCCCTAAGCCTCTGCAGAGATGTTTACGATCCCGGTGACTGCAGCGCTCCCTCTGGGCTTCGGTGAGGCCCGTGCACAGCCGGCCCGAATCCCCCGTGCTGGTCCTGCTACCGCTGCACGGAGAGGTGGACACGAGACCAACCCCAAAACTAACTTCGAACTCGGACTGAGAAGACCGCACCGTGCCCGAGTTCCCACATCTGTCGCCGACACCCCCGAAGGGGCTCAGAGAGACCTCGAGAGCGCCCAAGAGCCGCAAGCTCGGGGCTGGTACACGAGACAAGGCGTTTCCTCTCCCCAGGACGTGCTGACCGTAGAAAGCAGAGGCCAGGAAGGGTCTCAGAACCAAGGGAGCGCGCGTGAAGCGTGAGCAGCCAGACTCGAAGCAGCAGGCGCAGGGGCCAGCGTGGTCTCCCGAACACAGGTGGACCGCGAGCCCGCTGGGAGGCAGGCGCTTCGCCCCGGCGGGCCTGCCCAAGACAAAGCCAGAGCTATTTGAACGATCGTGCCATCTATTTTAAAACTCTGACTTCCAGTCTCTCTTTCATAAGAATGTGCGAAAAATCCATTCCAGGACGGCAGCTGTAACGTGCACTGCTGATATGCAAAGTGACGCTGGTTCCTCTTGGAAGTACAGAAGAGCTATAATCAAACTCCGCCAGCCACAGAAACATCTTCTCAAAAATACTACACTGCGCTGATGACATCAGTGAAACAACCAGGCACCGCCGGTAAATATTCTGAAATTAGTGATGAGAAAAACCAACATTCAGGAGGGCCCAGGGTCCAGGAAGGCTAACACAAACAAAATCTCAGCACCCCAGAGGTACGGGCACAAGTGTTCCGGAAAACACTTCCCACGCAACGAAGGTCTGCTGTCAGGCACCAAAGCCTTTGCCCCTGACCATTTCCAGGTTTTGAAAAAGCATTCTTGAACCATCCTGGGCACGCCAGACCCAGGCCAACTCCTGAAGTGAGGGCTCCACACGCGCACAGCGAAAGGCCGGAACAGAACCAAGCGCGGAGCTCCTCCACCTGCCGCTCTGCAAAGCCCTGCTTTCCCTGAGCGCCCTGCCGCGCGAAGCCCCTCTCTTTTTCTGTTTCCCCACTGACTCGGACAGCAAACCACCCAGCCTGTGAGCAGAGAGGCCGCGCCCACGGGCAGGAGCACCGGGCCGGAGAGGGAGCCTGGGGTGGACGCCTCCTGGTCCTCGCCCTGCTCCCTGGAGACAGAATTTGTCCACCAAGCCTGACACTTCTCCCAGTGTTCAGAAACAGATGCGGGACGGTAAGTGTCAAGGAGGATCTCAATCCCACAGCTCTACTCTGCCCTGTCCTCAGTTAAGAATCAGGGGCAAAGCATTCCCAGTCTCTCCTGCCACAGCAGCCACGCCGGGACACGGAGCTCAGACGGGACAGGCGTCTTCGGCTCAGCCACCGCAATCCGGTGCACGCACCACTCCCAGAAGCTGTTCCACCGACGCCTCCTAGCCAGCCTGACCCTACCACGACAGGCGTGCTAACGGGACATCGGCCTGAAGAAACCGTCTGATTAGCAAAGGTCGTGTGGGTTTAAGTTAACACAATGAGATCCGGTATCGATGAAGAGAAAAAGTAGCAAACTACAATCACAAAAGTGCTGTCTGTTACGCCATTCCTATCACAGCTGTCTTCACCTGCACCTGGCGCTCTCCCCAGAGACCCAGAGACGAGGCCGTCTCCCGCCAGGCAGGGGGCAAGCGCCACCTCCCAGGTGTGCTCGGAGCCAATCCTCCATCCTCATGGCACGTCTAGAGCTGCCCTGGGCGCCGACTCCGGCGCCTCTGTGGGCTCTGGTCCTGATCCGGCCGGCTCTGCCTTCTCCACCGGCAGCTGGGGATCCGTTTCCTTCAGCACCTGCCAGCCTGAGCGGTGCTGACGGCATCTGCTTCCTGATCGCCCCGTCCTCGGTTTAAGCCTTCTAAACCTCTTTTGGACACTTTTATTAGGGTTCTGGCAGAGAGCCAACACAAACGCTTTGCTGAATCCATCTTCTTTGGCTTGAAGCCTTCATCACTGAACACCCAAGACCGCGACTTCCAGGAAGAGCAATTCCGTATTTCCCATCTTTTTCTTGACCTCATCCTTTCGCCTCTGGTCCCAGACGTGAGTCCATCAGGGCCTCCCCTCTCATCACCGTCTTCACGGGGGGACACGCTCCAGTACGTGGTTCCCTGGCCGCTGGCCAACACTGCCATCGGGGGGCGGCCGATCCGGCCCCACCTGCACGGTCCCACGGCCTCGCGCTCAGTCCCCCGGCAGCGCCCGTCTTTCTCAAAAACCACTCTTCAGGGTCCTCCGGGGGTGTCATCACTGCTCACCGAGAAGGCAGGCCCGAACCAGGGCGTCAGCTGGCCTCTCCGCTGACTGCATCTCGCTCGCCCTGAGGTCACCACTGGACAGTGTCCCCTCAAACACGCCCTGTGCACAGCAGACAGAACCACCTCAAACCTCAGGGCTGAGGCCACTTCAGTCCACAGATGAAGAGCAAAGCACCGGGACCCTCCCAGAACCGGGCCTGTGACCAGAATCACAACGCGTGGGAGGAGCAATGCCTCCACGGGGCCTCACCCCCATGGGCCCCTGACTCGGCTTCTCCAGAGGCATCACAACTCCGCGTCTACACACCAGATCTGCAAAGTCAAGCCCCTCACTTTATCCTACCCGTTCCAGAAAGGTTCAAAACCGGACAACTTCCCGCAAGCTGTGGCGGCCACTGGAAAAAGCCCAGGCCTGATACTTGCGCTAAGGGCCCGGGGATCGTGCCCGCTTAGTAACTGAGCAGCCAGAGGGTCCTCCAAAGCGTTACTCCCAGGATCCGAGACGGCACTAACCAGTACACCGCGAGATCACCGCGCCCAGCGCCTCTTGCTGCCTCTGGCATTGTGCTAGTTGAAACAAAAAAGAAACAAGGGAAACAGCAAAGAAAAGTTGGTCACACGATCAGGATAAGAATCATGAAAAAAAAAAAAACTACCACAACACCTGTAGTCCTAATACCAGGGCAAGAGGCAGGACACACAGCGCGACACACAGCAGGTGCACAGCTCACACGTGAGACACAGGGTCAGACCCCCGCGCGGCACACGGAGGCTGCTGGGTGGAACGGCTTCCGAGTGTTCTCCCTGAACACAGCACGTGTGGACTCCAGGCCAACAGCCTTCCTCTTGCTAAAAATCACGTTCCTCAGCCACAGGCAGTTCTGGAGGTCAGGGGCGAAGAGAAGGAAACCAGACAGCCCCCCCCCCCCCCCCCCGCCCGGCAGTCGTTTTAATCTAATAAGCTTTGGTGTAATCCTAATTTGCTACTGCGATTCGTTCAGGAGCCACATCAAGGTCTCCTGGGCAAGTCCAAAGGACGGCAGAGAGAACTCCTCCTGCACCACTCACCCCGGGACTCAGAGGGGGGAAGCGCCCGGGGCATTCCTCCACACTCCTTCCCCCCTGGGGGCGGGGGGCGTGGAGCAGCATTCCTCCAGGACACTCCTTCCCATTCCTCCCTGACACTCCTCCATCTCCATGACAAGGGGAAGCCTTCCCCGCATTTGACTTCCCGCTGCTACAAATCAACAGGGACAAACTGAGAAGCCTGTCTCTGAAATTCCCTAACTTATCCCGGGCCTGGGCCCTCAGGACGCTTCCTGTTTCTTGCTGGCCTTGAAACACGGAGAGCCTCCTGGCTCAGGATCTGTCTGAAATTCCCTCTGCCCTCCCTGGATGGTCTGGTCAGGCCACGTGCAACAGGCTGTGGGAACTGTGCGCTGCCCTGGCCTTCGGTCCTGCAGAATGACAGTACTCGCTGGTCCCACCGTTCGGCTACGCTGCGGTTTCTGAATCAATCCACTGTCCCGACCC